CTCTCTCTCTCTCTCTCTCTCTCTTTCTGTCTCTCCATCCGTCCTTCACGCGTTGCATTCTCTTTCGTCTCTCCCCGTTGCTCGACCCCGCGCGTGTTCATCCCCCTACCTCTCCAGTCAGCCACGCCAACTCGCTCGATCCTTTGAGTTTCTTTTTCGCTCTTCCTGCCGTCTGTCTGTCTTTGTTCGACTCGCAAAGCTGGCTGTCCGCTGGTGGATCGGGTCGGCGCGCATCATCCCCGGTCCGTCCGGTTTCCTCTTTGTCGGGCACAGCCGGACACTAGACCGGGCGACAAAAGGGCAATCGGGGCCAATGGGCTACTGGCGCGTACGCCGGCCGTTTGATTGACATCGAAGGGGTGCTACATCGCATTGATTGCGTTCATTGTTCCAGGCACACCTACGTGTATATGTCCTTGCACCTGCGAGGCGGTGAACGCGAACCCCCCACTCGGATCTTCGCAAAGAAAATGAGATTGTTACGTTTCGTTCGAAACGATGGGGAAATCCTTTTACCCTCCGTATCGACGGATCGTTTCAGTCGACGTTTCGCTCGACGGGTCGTAAAGACGAAGCGCGATACATCTCGAAGCGACGATGGCTCCGTCGTCAAAGAGCCGATTGTTTCTTCGGGGCGATCCCATGTGCTGCTCGACTTTCTTATGGCTTTCTTTCGGATGGCAGATCGACAGATACGAGCGAAATTGGACGTGCAATACGGGCTCGCAATTCCGATTCAGTCAGGTTCGATCAAAACGAAAATTCTCCGGTTTTTGCTTTTGATATTTGCCTTTATTTCACTGGCTGATTTCGTACGGATCATTCTCTTCCTTATTTTTCTTCGTCGAATGTACGTGCTCAAGCTTGATCGAAAAGGAAACAAGACGTTTCTACTTTTGATAATTATTCTTCTCTGGCATGGAATTTCTCATGAACATAAACTCTTTAAAAACTGCAAAGCCAATGCGGGAAACGCTTCCCGAAGTTTCATCGAATCCAGGGATCGGAAATCCTATGTTACTGGGACAAACAAGCTTTCCAGAACAACGTATCAAAGCAAATGATTGTTACTTTGAAATCTGAGATATGTGTACTTGAAATTGTTAGTTACAAAAGCGCAATTGCTCTCCGATCAACTGAAAATAAATAATTACGATAATTAATCACCTGTGCAAACATTTCAACGTACAATATTACGAAACGAAATTATTGTTGTCGAATGCATTTATACAAGCCACCATTCGCCGAGTGGTCGTTCCGTAAGCACAGACAAGCTTGATTCGCTTGTCAAAGCGATAGCGTTCACCGGTTAAAGAAACGCGATGCTCGTCTCTTGACCGCGACAAATTGGACCGGAAGTTTGCCAGCTAACAAGAACACGAGGACCTCCGCAGGACCTTTTTTCGTCCAGGAAGATTCTTTTATCGAAAGTATCAACTGGGAGAGGTGGAGGGAAGGGGAGGCAGAGCGACGTGTTCTTTCGTATGAAAGCGCTGAGAAATTGCCACGGCGTCGGGAAGGAAAGGGGAAGAGAAAGCAGGGGAGAATAAGACAGAGTGAAACAGAGAAGGAGGGAAAGTAAGTCGGCAGGTGAACGGAGCACGGCACGATAAAACTAACGTAACCGGAAGAAAAGCAGCTTTTTGTTCCGAAAACTCCGCGCCGGCTTTCAGAGCCGTTTTAAAATGACGAAAAGGTTACGCTGTGCAGCACTCCAGTGGTACGCTGCGAAATCCGCGCGTACTAGAAGACAGGAAGGAAGCCTAAAAGGGAGGGAAAAGGCAACTGAAAGAGCGTGTATGCTCTGGCATAGAGTACAACCGAGAAACATGGCGGAAGAAAGAGAGGGAAGTGCGCGCGAAAAAGAGAAAGAACGAAGAGAGAGAGAAAGGTTAGGTTCCCGTCTTAACAGAACAGGGTGATATAGATACCGCGGTTCGAGTTGAAAGTTTTTTCTCATATTTCCAACAATCACCCGTGCGTCCTTCTTCCTCTTGAATCAGCCTCCCCCTTCTGTTCTGCTTCTCTGTTCGGGAAATTGAAACGACTAACACCTCCGAGAGTCGAGACGACATCGGCAGACCGAAAGTGCGTTCACCTCTGCGCGATGAAAAAAAAAAGGAAAAAAAGAAACAGATGCACCGGAGCTTTCGCATTCTCCAACGTTCCCCGCCGTTCGTTCGGTTCTCCGTTCGAGAAAAATAGAAACAAAAAATACACCAGCTGACTGGAAATAAATCGCAAGGTAGAACTCTCTGGCCATTCTTTCCCGTTTTTTCGTCTTGATTAAAATTTTCTCAAGAGCTTCGAGCTTTGTTTTGACACACACAGCGGTACGTGTAATATTCTATCCTGTAAAACGACAACACTGTAAATGCGTGTACGCGTATATTATTAGTAACAGAGACGCGTGGAATCGTATTTTTTCACGCTCAGGGACTCGTTCCGATGGGTTTCAATGGGAACGTTCGGTCGTAATGATTCCCGAAAAAAAAAAAAAAAAAAAAAAAAAAAAAAAAAATGGCATTTCGCATTTCATATTTCGACTATGCCGTATAAAAGGGGAACGAACGGTGACTTCATTTTTCACGGATTAAACCGGTATTGTTGCTTCCCATTTACGAGGAATTCATTTTTATTCAAACAAAAGCTTGTTGCGAGATTAATAGTGCCGGATGAAAGGGTGTTATTACGTACTCGTACTCTTGCGGCACTGAGATTTTTCATTTCCGTTTAGCACAGCTAAATTAATTATGCCAGGGAAGGTTAGATTGACGGTTGACGGGAACTAGCAGAAAACAAAAAAAGGAAAGATTAATGCGCGTATGGTATAAAACGTGAAGACGAAGCTTTACGATGTTTATGAAGGTGGAAGTTTATTCT